AGCTGTGAAATGGCGCTTTCAGTAGAATGACGAATTTTGTGACCATGAGCTGGTATGACACAAACTCCATCAAAGTGCAGATGTAAACGTTTCCATACAGAACGGTGATTCGTTGGTGCCGGTATGGACTTAAACTGATACGCGGTTAAGTCCAAGCTGGTTATACCGGCTTTATTAGACTATTACTAAGCCTACCATTATGCTTTAGTCTCCGCATTCCCGCCTGCATGTTTAAGTTTGCACCATGGCTTTGATGTAATCTGAGACTTAGACAGTAATGCGGTATTTACCCCACATTATAGGTCTGCTCTGGAAAGCAAATTTATTTCAGTCCATACCGATATGGACGGATAATCACTCTGGACGATTCTTGTGTAATCATACTGAATAAGCCGTGGGCTTCTGACTGTTTTATCAAAAGCTAACTTATCATCAGTTGAGGTGATTTCTTCGAAGTAGAAAAACGTTACAAGTTATCATTCCGTTGCTCATCAAGAACATCATACGATGTGGGCGTTACCGACTTAGCAGGCGCTTTCTAAGGCAAAACAATGATGTACCCGGTTCACAGTGTTCTGTATGTTTATGCTCAATCTGTGGAAGGACGTTGTCCACTGCTTCTCCTCCACCGTTTCAGGGAATCAAGGGTCCCTGTCAAATACGGGCCGACTTCTATTGGCGATGGACACTGAAGCATGGTTAATCGAAAATTCGTATGGAGCAAAAGTAGTTTCGTAGTGTGTTATCGAGTTAACATGGACCTTTATCGATATCGTAGTTCTACTGTAAAGACTAACCTGTTGGGACATTTCTCTTTCCACTTTTTGTCCTTCTCCTTGCAGACCATGTTTGGTTCGTCAAGCAGTAACGTTGGAGAACTGTTCTGAATCACATGGAAACTGTTTTCTCCACAGACTAGTGGATTTTCTGACAAAAGGTAATATATCGTAAATTCGATTACAACACAAGCGATATTTTAGCATACCTCTCAAGAGAACGGTCACCTTGTTGGTCGGTGCCACGGCCACCGGGATTAGATTGTCAAGTTGGTTATGCGACAGGTCCACAAGGTGGATATTTGGTAGAACGACGAACGTGAACGGCTGTATGACTTTGATGTTGTTGTTGGCCAGTGACAGTTGCTTCAGGAACGGAATACCCTGGAACATATGGTAGCTGACAGTGTTCAAGCAGTTGTGGCCGAGCAGCAGCACGAGTAACGGACTCTTAGAGAAGGCGTTCGGTGCGATGTCCTGAATGAGGTTGCCTTCGAGGTTCAGCTGCATCAGGTTCTCAAGGTCTTGGAACGCACCGTCCGGCACCTCAACGATATTGTTGTAACTCAGGTCCACTATTTCTAGGTACTTGAACTGGTGCAACGACTTCGGCTCTACGACGCTCAACTCGTTGTGATCGAGGAACAGGTAGCGCAGGTTTGGCACATTGTTGAAGCCGTTGCGGTCGATCCTGGTGATGCGGTTGTTCGACAGGCGCACCATCAGCAAACTCATCAGGTTCATCAGTTGCAGTTTGTCAACTGACGTGATTTGGTTATGCTTCAGGTGCAGCGCTAGCAGATTCTTGAAGTTGCGCAGACCCTCGGCGGGGATGTCCTTAAGACAGTTGTTGTCGAGAACCAGGCTCTGCAGCGTGTCCTTGATATCGTCGAACGCCGCCGCACCGATCTTGCATATCTGGTTACAGGCCAGGTTCAGCTCTATGAGGCTGGTGACGTT